AGGAGTACTTTTTTTTGGGCCACCCGGTACACAAAGAGAAATAAACTTTATATTAATTTTAAACGATGTTTGAAATCCGAATAATATCACTTACTCGAACCGTCCTGACCGCGTAGCTGTAGGTTCGAATCCCACCGTGGCCGGGCATATTTTTCAAGCTCGCCCGGTGTGGATATGCACTCAGAGTAACATCGCAAACATATTATTCACCTGAGTACACAACACCAACACAGAAAAAAAACTAAAAACGGCTCAAAGTTTGAATAATAATTAGCACTTGAAAAACTTTGAGGGCCGCTTGGGCCTGGGGACGAGGATGTTGAAAAACAACCAATCAGAGCCCGACTTTCACTGGTGTTTCCCAGAGCCTCAACAAGCCTCCACAGAGGATTGCGGGCTCTGGTTTCGAGATTGGGGTGTTTTCAATTAGCGTTCTAAAAATACTCAGGGAGGAGTGGCAAGGGAATTATTGCCGATGCCGTAAAATGTAAAAATAAACAAAGCAAAGGCACACCTATTAGCACACTTTTATCGTTACTAAAAATATATTGTAACCTCGAGCGTTAATAGTAATGTGAAAGAAACTCCTAAAATTTATATAAATCCTGTAGTGTGCCATCCAATATTACATGTCGATCGCTTTGTCGAAGTATTAAGTCACACGTCGCGGTAAACATACAAGATTTGAAGATAATATATTTCTAGATTGACCAGTATATCCTGATACTCGACTCAAAGGATTTATCAGTTAATAACGACAAGAGGGATCTTATGATTTCCAAAATATCGCCAAGACCGCGTGGTGTGTAATTTCCTGCATTGGCTTCACTGAAATATTTCAACGATCAAGGACATCAAGAAATATGTCGAAGTATATACCTCTCCGTTATCAAATCCACGGTAAAATAATACCACAACAGCCGGCTACTCGAAGGAATAACATGCAAGTACAGTCTACGTACTAATTATACGGTACATAACTCAGCCTATTTCTCTGATATTATAGACAATAGTCAATACAATTAGACACCGCATAATAAATATAAATTTGCATGATAAACAGCTTGAATATTTGTGACATTGTCATTTGCTTTACTGTGATCGATGACGATGTTGATTTTTTATAATAATATAAATACAAGAGGATTTTTATTTTGTGAAATATATACGGATTTATATAAAAGAATGATGGCATGCTGCTGTAGTGTGAGACACTGTTAATATAGTATAGACATCGATATATACTGTAAAGCTACGTTTACCACAGGCGGCCCAGACGTGTATTATGCATGAGTCAATTCCTGGAGTAACCATCCCCCCCGGGAATTTCCCCGATAGACAGTTCACGGGGGTCGGGAATTTGCCTTTCATATATGTGCACGGGGGCCGGGTATTGGAGGACCCCGGGGATTTGACAAATGGTTGACCAAAATCCCACCCACAAATTTTAAGGCAGCAAAACCTAGTTTCAGGCACGCATGTGGGCGCGCTGATCGCATTTTGCGCCCTCGTGGTCAAGGTGGCGTGAAATTTATTGTAAGAACAAGACGCTCTGTTGAGCGTTTAGTCGCTGGGGCTATTAAAATAAGGTCTTCTGCGCAGGGCTTCTGCGCCTATTGCTCTCTCTTCTGAGAGCAGTGTATAAGCGCAGAAGCCCTGGGTACGAGGTTGATATCATTTATTGGATTTATCTGGCTTAGGCCAACTTCGAGGACACTGGAAACCTGGCTTAATTAAACAAATTTATTGTAACTGTGCATTTTGACCCTTCAACTGGTTTTCTCAAAAAAATTAATGCCCCCCCCTTCTAGTAAATTATTGGGGTCATGGGGTCATGGCCCCACCTTTTGCCCCCCCCCCCCTCCCTCTTCCATAAATAAGGACTGGTCCCTAACTGCAGGAAAAACATGTGCACTTCACAGAACATTTATAACAATTCATAATTTATTACTTTTGCCTCAGGCTGGGTAACCACAACAGAAGTTGCCAAATAGGCCCTTTGAAGGTAGCTTGCGTGTCAGGCTTGATGCTTGAAATAGAGCCTGTTATACCCTGTGAGCAACGTCCTCTCGTATTTCGTCTCAGCACGGCACGGAGAAGCGAGAGATACTGCAGAACTTGTGTATAAATTAATTTGAGCATGCACGAAGGTTGCTAAGCAACTGCCTATTTCCCAGAAGAAGATTTAATAAGTAGTTTCCGGTTCAGATCAAAACCGGTTATAAAACTGGTATCAAACCTGAAATTACTCATAAATATCCACATTTTTGGATTGTCGGCTCCACAAAAGAATATACACAAGTTTGCAGAGTCTCCCTCGTGCTGAGAAGAAATACGAGAGGACTTTGCTCGCAGGGTAAGCCTGTTACTGAAGCCAATAAAAAGTGGACAGTGATTGGGGATGCACAAAAATAACAACCAATCAAAATGGCGATTGCTAATTACATATCAATCAATTCCAGCAGTGCCCATCCCCCGAGGTATTAAAGAAGAAGAGCCTGACATGCTAGTTACTTTTAATAACCCATTGAGTTGCATTGCCCCCCCTCCCTACTTAATTTCAATACATTGTTCTCACCATTGTGTTTATACAACCTTGCAAATTTACTAGCAGGAATTTCCATTGTGTTTGCAGCCCTTACACTTTGTGTTTCATTACGGTATCTTGACCTTGAAAGAGTCTAGATTACTGTGGCTCCAACATTTTCCTGTTCGGCGTTAGAAACACAATACATTGATCATAAAATGACTGAAATATTACAGATTTAAAAGCCTGATACCTAGCGGCAAAGTTTAAATTTCGCACAAGTAGTGATGAATGGTGATCACTGTGGTTGTATTTCGGTCTTGTTAGGCTACACCATGTTCTTTTTACCACCTATCTGTAACAGGATTATTTGCATCAACAGCCATAAAAAAGCACCCAAATAAACAGCAGTTTGCGAATATTATTGTTGCGATTTACAAAGGTTGCGCCCGTTCCAACTTTGTAAAATTGACAATTGTGAACTTTTGTCCTCTATTTCAAGCTTGCAACCTTCCAAGTTTACTCACATAAAATGACTTTCGCTTTGTAAAGTCTGTTTCAACGGAAAACTTTTAAGGTTTATCGGAAAAATAAAAAAATATGTACAAAATCGATGATACCATTCGCTCGTAGTAAGCGGCCATCTTGAATTCAGCGACGAATAGTAATGACGTAATTTTTATTTTTTATTAATGACGTAATTGTCATTTTGTGGCTAACGATCCAAGATCCGACACAAATGCGTGCCGAAACCTAGAGTCGCTGCGGGCTCTGCCCAGCGACTAATAAGCGAAAATTATACCCTGTGCCATGCAAATTTAAATACAACTATTAAAGGTTTATGTTTTATAATATTCCATAGCAGTTTAATACTATAATGTTATTAAATGACTATGATTATATGCCATTAAAAGTTTAATTAACGTTTACAGTCGATTTCACGAAACTTTGACCACAAATTTTCCGAACTTCGTTGCGAAGTTCAAAAGTTCATAATGAGATTCACAAACCAGTTCGTAAACTACGCATTTGAATGGCTTCTTTTACTTCACGGATCAATCAGGGACTTTATTTACAAATTGACTTGTGAATTCCAATATGAGCTTCCAAACTTCGCAACAAACTTGTGAACTTCGCAACGAAGTTCGGAACATTTGTGGTCAAAGTTTCGTGAAATCGACTGTAAAATCGTCCCCGGGGTGGAGCATTTTCCACTCTCAGCTTGCCCAGGGGCCGTGCATTGTGTCCCGGCACCCGGGCATTTACACTATCATAACCAATCAAATCAAATGCCCGGGTGTGTTCCCGGGGGGGGGGATGGTTACTCCTGGAATTGACTCATGCATTAGTGTATAGTAAATATATCATTATAGAATACATGATACTACACTTGTATTAATGAATTATTGAATTTTATATCTTAAAATCATATTTACTTGCCTACTTTGATTGTATGTGATCGTCTTTTATTCCTGGGCGACTTTACACTGTGTGCCTGCGACTGTCAACATAGGTGATACCCATCTTCGAACATACAAGGCAATTTTAACACGTCCTATAATTTTTGCAATGGATTTTTAGCGAAATGTTTCGAGACTAAAATTCTATGGAACTTAGAAAGCCCGATAATTGATACGGCGCTTGCTTGGCGACCGAGCCTCCTTTACCGTTTGGATTGCCAGGGGGGGGGAGCAAATAAACAAACACATATTTCCGCAAACAGCTAGCCTGCATGGCAGGCGGTACGTAGGAAATACCGCCTGCCGCAAAACTGGGTGTAAATGAACTACCGCCCCTGAAGCATCAAAGCTATTTATAGATGTCATTAAGTAAATATTCAAAATTAACCACTCCCAAGTTGCTCCCAAGTCCCAACTGCCCAACATAAAATAAATTCCTTGATTCTCATCACCGCCCGATTGAATTTTAAAATCCTCGTGAAAATGTTTTATATTTTGTTATACAGTATAAATGTACCGCCCGACCGCAAAATAATTCGAGACAGTTAATTTTTTTATATTTTATATAGGGTTTTTATTGCCATTTTAAACTTCCAATTTGAAACAAACAGAATTTTGAATGAAATTTCATTGTATTTTAAAGAAATTCAGTCATTCTGTCATTGTTCGTGGAGATACGAACTATTGATATATAAATTATATAAATATAAAATATAAAAAATAAATCTCCCACTGTCTTCGACATTTCAAAGTGTAGACTGTGTCTAGTGTGACGTATTTTTGTATGTTTTCACCGTAATCTAAGTGTAGCGCGCGCGAGAACACGCGAGAAGCCACGCGTTGCGAGAAACACGTTGTTATGAATTGAACAGCCGCCATTATGATAGTTTTCGTAAATATTCCTCATGAATTTGTTGTATATATGTTAATAAAATAAGTATTATAAACGATTTGGAGCCTTTTGAACCTAAATTCTCTTACATGGTCCTTCGGAGTCGGATATACAACGAATAATGGCTGAGGAATTGAAGAAATTAGTAAAAATACGCGGAGGCCATCGAGCCAGTCTTACGAAAACATTAGCTGTAACAGAGGAACTCTTAACGCAATCTACGGAAATATTTGAAGAAACACAGGCAAGTGACTTTGAAATAAAACTTACCCAACAACGTGTGATTTTGGGCGAAAAATTACCACTTCTAAAGAGTTTTGACGACAAGATTATTCTGTTGGTTGAGGACGGAAATATTGAGGATGAGGTTGCCAGTGCTGATGACATACGTCAAGCTATTCAAAGGGCAATTGTTCACATTGATTTAATTTTGGAAAAACTGAAGAAAAAATGGAATAAAGACAGTGGATCTTCACCATCGAATCTGGAAAGTTCTCTGTCGCAAGCAACAGTACCACACACATCTAACAGTAGGGTAAGATTACCAAAATTAGAACTAAAACATTTTAATGGGAACATAATGGAGTGGACTCCATTTTGGGATTCATATTCTTCTTCCATTCATGAAAATCCTAATTTATCCGGTATAGATAAATTCAATTATTTGCATAGTCTGTTGGAAAAATCTGCTGCTGAAGCAATATCGGGTTTAAAAATAACTTCAGCAAACTACCAAGAGGCAATAGATATCTTAGACAAAAGATTTGGTAATCAGCAACAAATTGTCAATGCCCACATGAATGCTTTATTAAACCTGCCCAAGGTGACTAATGTAGATGACTTAAAGGCTCTCAGGCAATTACATGATAAAGTAGAGAGCCATATGAGGGGATTGAAATCACTTGAAGTTGACTCTGGTTCATATGGTAGTCTGTTAACACCTATTTTAATTGATAAGTTGCCTAAAGAGCTGCGTTTAGAAGCTAGAAAGCAGGTCAAAGAAGATTGGGATCTAGGTGAACTGATCAAAATCTTTAAAAGGGAACTGGAGGCTCGAGAGAGGGCAAGTCTCTTACCCGGCAGTTCAAGGGATCCCCCATCTAAGCCACCGTATAAACCTAAGATCCCATCTGCATCATCTTTGTTTACTACTGGAGGAAGTCCAACATGCACCTACTGTCAACAACCCCACCCTTCAAATAGCTGTAGTACCGTGACTGACAGAAATGAGAGAAAGGAAATTTTGAAAGGTCTGGAAGATGTTATATATGCCTTAGAAAGAATCATGTTGCCAGAGAGTGCAAATCTAAAATAAAATGTTTTAAATGTGATAAGCGTCATCACATTAGTATCTGTCCATCCAATTCTAAGGTGAAACCTAACCCACCAGAACAAGAAGCATCCCACCAACCAACCCCCTCTGAAGAACACCCACGCATGCAACCCCAAGGTCACCAACCCACAAACCAAAGTAGAGAACAACCTCAGAACACCCATGTCAATATGTTTGTCGATGCACAGTCCTCGATTCTTTTACAAACCGCAAGAGCCCCCATTTACAACCCAAAAGATCCTAGTAAGACGTTGCAGGCAAGACTTATATTTGACAGTGGAAGCCAAAGATCATACATAACTTCCACAATAAGAGACAAGCTGAATCTCCCTATAGTAAGACGAGATACCCTCAAGATTAATGCCTTTGGTTCTAAGGATGAAGATA